GAATCCTGCAGGAATATCGTCAGGAAGAGAGCAACGGGACGGTATTCGGATCCATAGTGCTAAACTCCGATAGAACCCTAGTGTTGGAAATTCCTACCACCAGAATCCGATAAAAAACTACTGACATTAGACTACCGTATTTGACATTCGGATTTAATAGGATTGTCAGGCATCGAATTCCTCCAAGATGTCTACAGAATATTATCGAATTTCATCGAGTTTCTCTTGGATCTGCTTAGATTACAACATCGGAGATCCGAGGATGATTCCTAGTCTCGAACTCATATAGAATCCAATGATATGCTATGGAATCTCGTAAAATCTCATAGCATCCGAAAACATGATTATTCAACTACGAAAATTCAAACAGAATATTTCAACACAAACGACAATGGATAAAAGACTTTATAAGCTCATATAACTAGCTGCAATTGAAAAATACTACTTTTCATCATTCTACTGAACCGTAATTTTTTCTAGTTCAAGGTAACCAATGTCAGTTCTCAATTTGGCTAGTTTTACCCAGCTTTTCTTTAAACAATTTACGAAAATGAATTACACTCTCGATAATTTTCATAATCCTACCTAATTTGCATTTCTCAACTCTACAGAAAATTGAATTTGCTCGTGATAATTTCCATAACTTCACGTAACCATCATTTTTTAACTATTGGAAATTATTTCGACAATTGTTGGGTGTGGAATTAGTGTGGGTCTGCATTATTCTCCTGAAATAAACAAGTCCACTTCTCACACTGGCATCCTCACCTGCACACACATCCATACTCTTTCAGGTAGAACGCGCACAAGAAAAGTTCAAAGTTCCAATATATCTTTAGTTATACGCTAAAGCATTTAGTGCGTAGTTGCGTCGTTCTTTTCGCTGTTTTTTGTCTTTCCTTCAACTTTCGACGAAAGCCTTCGAATTTGTGATAGCTCTTGACCATCCTGATAGAATCGACCATTTTCAACTTGAGTTTGAGGTATATTAACTGCATACAAGATCGATTCGGCGCCGAACTCTGCAGGACGCGCGTCACTGGAATGATGAGTCATATCTGTTGCACAAAAGCCTGGACACACGGAAAGAACGAGTATATTCTTTCTGTTGGACCATTGACGCGCTTGGATCCGAGTGAGACTGTTAAGTGCCGCCTTAGATACGCTGTAGATCAAAGAGAGTGACCTACAATTATATCCACTTTTTTCAAGGTTGTTTGTTTCGATAGCCGAGATAAAATCTTCGACCAGACAATCGAGTTGTTCTACAGTCAACGTCGATGATGTAAATCTATCTTGCAACCCTTTCGACGCCTCATACAACATGTTGGAGCCCAGTTCACTGGACACATTGATCACACGACCATTTTTTCGTAACAGTGGGAGTGAGTGTTCATTGAGTAGTTTAATGCCGTAATAGTTTGTAGCGAATGTTGCTCGCGCTGCCTGGACGGTTATATCTGGCACGCAAATGGCAGCATTATTTATGATAACGTCAAGTCCGTCACAATATTTTTCTTTAATTTCTTCCATGGCATGAACGATACTTTCCCTTGATGATGTATCTAATTGAAGAAGGTGAACATTCGATGGTGAACTTAACTGAGCAAGTGCATCTTGGCCTCGAACAATATCACGAGTGCCAAGTAGAATGATATTGTTGGTTGATGATTCATTTGCGAGCTTCTTGACGACCAGAAAACCAATACCTCGATTAGCACCAGTGACAAGAATCACGCGTTTTTCCTGCGTTAGTAGCATGATTCAACCGTATTTGTCTAGAAATTAAGAAACTGTATAATGTATAGGAAAGGAGAAAATTTTTATTGTAATGAATCGCTGTCACTTAGAAACCACGGTTAAAAAATTAAGATTACCATAATGGAGAAGCCTCATCACGTCTATCAGAGTGTCAGCTGATGGTATGAACTATGGTCTCGATTTGGCCTGCACACATCAGCACAAATGAGCCTAATATAACACAATCAATTATTCAGAGGGTGTTCAGTTTTGAAAAAAATACGCCAAGAGGCTGCCTTAAAGTGAATTCACTCTAGAAAGGTATAAAGTCATTTTATACGTAAAATATTTTCGATGAGATTGCTGAGATTTTATTAGGAGATACCTGACTACATTCTCACAAGTTATAGTTATACGAAGTGTTCTTTTGCCTTGAAAAGGGTATAATTGCACTGTAAAAATAAGCGTAGAGTAATAAATTTTTGAAGAGTTTATAAAAGTGCTAAGTATAAAACACCATTTTTCACCTTTTAGAAAATCTTTCTGAACGCTTTCATAAACCCTCTGCAAAGGATATATGAAAAGTTTTATGACTTTCAAATATCACTCGTAAAAGATTTATGAAAAAATGCATTATATTCATAAACTCTTAAAGGATTCGCTATAGGTTGCGCTTTCATCAACATTTCTTGAGG